GTGAGGGATATAGCGCTTATTATGAACTTCCAAAGAGTCAAGAAAGCGCTGGAATAAGAAAAAGATTCAGACCAGGATCTGGAGTAAGGATGGGGTCTAGGTGAGCACCTTAGAACTAAAGCTAGACACAGTCTCAATGTGCTGGAGCTGTGCCCCTTTCAGGGAGTGTGTGTGTGAAGAACTGACAGGGTTGCTCAGCATCCATTTCAGCTTGTGACATAAGAAGGTTTTAACAAGTATTCCTTGATTTTTTGCTAAAATTGAAAATAGTTTTAATATTTTGGAGGAGCTCCAAGGACAACAACGTAGTTGATCAAAGTCAAAAGGCAGTCTTAACCCCCATCCCCTGTAATATATACTGAATTTAGAAACTTCTACTGCTGTATACACAATCAAGTTCTCTATAATTGATATTTTAGTGAGGTGATAGTACAGGTGTCCCCCCAGTATTGAGGGATTGGTTCCAAATACCACAATCTGCAGATGCCTGAGGCCCTTATATACAACAGTGTAGTAGTTACACATAACCTATATACAGCCTCCTGTACACTTTTATCACTTCAAATCTATGAAAATAGTTGTTATATTCTATTATTTAGCAAATAAGGGCAAGAATAGAAGTTCATACACGATCAATACAAATATAAGCTTTCTTTCAAAAACTGCATCTTCCATCCATGGTTGGTTGAATCCACTGATGTGGGACCTCAGGACACAGATGGCCACTTGTAGAGATAAAACAGAGAGACTGGAAAAGGAATTTGAAGGTCACCATACACATGGTTTCACATAACTAGCAGTTCTCTTCCAAAGTCCAGCAGAATTGATGAGGAAGAAGGAAATCCCATTTTGCCCCTAGAGATTTCTCAGGCCCAACTTAAGATAACAGCAGTAACAGCTGCTACTTCTTTATTGAATGCTTATGATTTGCCAGGCACTGTGCTAAGTGCTCATATTTATGATCTCACTTCATCCTCTAAGGTATATTGCTATTATGTCCTGTCTGTAGTGAGGGTGTCCAGGCCCAGACACTTTTCATTGCCTGCCTGATACTCACTCCCCCTTTTTCTTTGCACAAACAATATTGTTCTTTGCTTTTCAGGGAGACAATGTGTTCAGCTCCAGAAAACAAGTCAACAGTGGCAATTCTGTTTGCTTGGGTACTCCCTGATTCCCCGTACACACTCGCCTCCTTTCTGTTGGAGGTGGCGAGTGTGTATGGAGAAGCAGGGAGTTTCTGTTGGAGGTGGCATTCCAGGGAGTGGCTTTTGAATGATATATAAATTGGCAGGAAAATGACAAAATTACAGACCATCCAGTGTTACACACTAAAATAAGGGAGTTGTGTGCTTAAAATAGACAAGTGTATTTATTTGCTTGGCTAGAACAGAGTCTGAGAATAATTTTTAAAAATTATAAAAGAGGCAGGGAAGAGCAATGTATGCTCTTGAAGGGACATCAAAAGACTCTAGATTTATTTATATAGGTAAATTTATAAAGTAATATAGGATTAGTGTAGATATTTATAAAAAGCCATATGATGGAAAATTATTTGGATAATTTCATTTTAGCATAAACTAAAGCCAATTGTCCAGCTGGGAGTTTCCAGCAATTGACCTTGAACAATGTGAAGGGGATAAAACTCTAAGTAATAATGTAGAGAAAGAAGCTGCAGGACTTAGGGCTATTTAGTATAGAGAGATAAAAGACAGGAGTCAAAATTACACCCAGTTACTCATCTAACAATTGAAAATGTCAAGAAATTAATTTTGTATTAAACTGCCTGGAAGGCTTAGGAAAAAAAAAATGTAAGAAAACTTTGCTGAATTCTACCCTAAAAAAACAGGCCTGTTTTTCAGACTGAATTCCTTTCCATTATTTTTGGTAAACACCTGATTGTGCTATAACTCAATACCTGAATGGTTTACCAACTCTTTTTACCAGGGCTACTCTCTTCCACTTCGTCTTCATATCCATTTAACATGTAATTCTTGTAAATTTTCACAGTTGAAAAACAAATAGCTGGCTGAACTCTCTGCTTCAGTCTTTTGGATGCTTTGCTTCTTGGTAAGTGGTCAGTATTTTGATACTGCTATAGTAATAACAGGAAATGATGTGTTAAAATCTGGATCTTCAGTTACAGATGAATGCCAGTGTAAAGAGGAGAGCTCGTTTCTATAAAAACAGTTTGGAGAATTATTTCTAAGACCACAGGGAGAAAATAGTCATTTGCTCTCAACAATAGAAAAGCGAATGCAGAGCAGAAGGAGATCTTAGGGTGATCAGTGAACTTCAACAGGGGAGTTGGTGGCTACAAATGTAGCAATTTTGACTGAAATGGTAAATGCTAGAGCATCAATCAAGGTAACATTGAATGTCATCTCGGGAAATAAATATTCATTCAGAAAAAGCTTCACAATCAGGTAGAACAATTCTAAACTGGTCCAGTGGTAAATGTGCTTGCTTGCAATTTAGAAGTTGGTTCTGTTTACCAAAAAAGAGAAAACAAACAATGGGGGTGGAGCTAGTCCTGGAATAAAGTGAAGGTACTTTCATATAAAACTGAAAAATAGACTAGCTAACGGTACTAAAATTATCTTTTACTTTTTATATAAAAGTGCCATTGATTATACATTTTCTTAGTCTTATAGCATCGAGTTTTCCAAATAGGTTTAAGGTTTTTCTGTTAATAGAGTAGATCGACATCATGGACAATTAAACCAATCCCAGAAGCTTTCTCCTTTCTCATCTTCCTCTCTGCAAGGCTTTCTGGGTACAACTGAGCGAAGCCAGAACAGGCAGCACAGAGACTTCCCTGTAGAGGGTTGGTTAAGAGCCTTGTACATCAAACATTTCCCAACACCATACTCTAGGGAGTCAGAACAGAAGCCAGGAAAGCAAGAACAATGTGGGCAAAAGATAATCTTGGCTTAAAAGATCTTCAAAGCAAAAATGTTCTCATATAACCATAACTGCACAAATTAAATTTCCTAATGTTTTAATGTAATGTTTTGAAATTGTTTTAAAAATCTAATTGATAAATTAAAACTAATAACCTAGAATTCAATTAAAAACAATACATGATGAACCAATATTTTTCCAGTTTAGAATTTTAAGCAAAAACAATTTTGTAAAACACTAGAGATAGATGTTATCAAATAAGTTATATATAATTATAAAAGCTATTTTGATGTTATCAAATAAGTGATATATACTTGATTCTCTGGTAAATTAACAGAATGGATAAAATAATGTATGGAGTCTAAAATTACTTTTCAAGATTTGTCTTGAGTTTTAGTCATTGAATGCTTTTAAACAGGAGTAAATGAAAAAGGACAAAACATCACTTGAATCTGAATATATAAATCATCTGTTTCAAATTAACTGTTGTGACTCATATAAAAACAATGACAGTCTGGATTCAAGAATGAGTATGAAAAGTGAAAAACTAGCTGATATCATAGATAGTATTTCTTTCCAAAATTCCACCTCCTCCAAAATGTCTTCAGATTCACCTCTATCTTCCTGGAATAAGAAGTAAACTTTCCTTTCTCCTCTGCACTCTAATTTGCCAATTAATTATCTTATCACTTTCTATTTCTGATTTGACTAAAGTGGTAATATTTTGCTAGTGGACTGTAAGCAAATGGAAAGCAAGGCATGCATCCAATTTGTCTTGGTTTCCTTAATACATTTGTTGAATACCCAAAATCTAGGCGCGCGC